TTATATAACACGATTCCAGCACAGTGCGAAGACATAAACCACACTGAGCTGGGGCACAACTTGCACTAAGAAAACATTGAATTTTTTATCCCCCTAATTGCCGTAAATACTTATTAGTAGACATAAAACATCGCTAGCAACATTAAACTATCCGAGCTGAAAAGAGGGTTCTATAACGGTCCTTGAATCCTGGGACTATTGTCGTTTATTTTGTGCAGCTCACATGCAACTTTATACGTATTACGTCTTTTTCAAAATAAATAGCGCGAAGGTGAAGAACAAACTGACGGTACAAGCGCTAACTCACAACTGTCGTTTTAATAATCACACAGAAGACGAGAAAGAGGTAGCGTTTCTCTCTCGTCTTTCTTTTCGGTATGAAAAATTCCCAAAATGAAACATGAAACACAACATGAAAAAGGTGGCTGCCAGGTATGACATCCCTGTCGTCTTTTCCGCACCAGACAAGCTAAAGAAGCTTTGTCCTGTGATGAATTCCCCACAAGACCGCCGCAAAGAATGCGGCCAGAAGCACAAGCAAACATATATACCTTGCCAAAGCCAGGTTATATATGAAATACCTTTCACCTGTGGCAGAGTATATGTTGGTCAATCTGGCCGGTGTGTGAACACCAGGTTACGTGAACACGCTGCGTCACTAAAATCAACACCATCAGGGCATCTTGCAGTGCACGTAAGAGACTGTCACTGCAAGCCGAAACTTACAGAGACAAGGATCTATCGAAGGTACCGTCAGAAGACATCAAGGGAAATATATGAGGCAATGGCCATAAAAGAAAAGGAGAACTCGTGTGTCAGTGCACCATCAGTGGCATTAACTGAAAAAGAACTTAACTACCTTAACTTTCCTACTTAAGGTGGTTTCTTTGGTTCGCTGTGGACAACTTCTTCCTTTCTTTCTGCTAATTTTCAGTTTTTTATAACGTAACGCCCTCTTTCGTTATTCTTATTTCTCAGTTCCCTCAACGTAACTTCCTCTTCCATCAAGACGATTTCATTTTGGGAATTTTTCATACCGAAAAGAAAGACGAGAGAGAAACGCTACCTCTTTCTCGTCTTCTGTGTGATTATTAAAACGACAGTTGTGAGTTAGCGCTTGTACCGTCAGTTTGTTCTTGACCTTCGCGCTATTTATTTTGAAAATGCATATCCAACTAGCCCACCTTAATATTTTAGTACGTATTACGTCATAGCCTTAAAACGTGGGCTGTTCACCATTGTTGGCGTTAGGCGGGTGGCAGCTGATAAAAACCGTTTGCTACACTGACGTCTAACTCCTAGTGTGCTCAGTCGGTAGAGCTTTTCATTCGAAATGGAGAGGTCCCCGGTTCGATATCAGCACCAGTCAAATTTTTCTCAGAGCGCACCAGTTACCTACCTGTGTTTGGTGATTTGTGTTTTTCTTTTGTCCCTACTATTTCCCTTTTCCAGGGAGTATTATCGTTTATTCTGTCCAGCTTACTTGCATGTTTGTGTTTTTGTTGTATCCCAAAACGTCTAACATTTAGAGAAAAAAGTAAACAAATGCCTGTTTGTTTCCTTACCTGTATCTCTCTATCTCTCTATCGAACCAAGCATCAAACTAAGCCCCGCTTAACTTTTAAAAGTCTTCCAGCTTCAGGCATGAATAGCTCCGGTGAAAAGAAAGAGCGTGAAAACAGCAGGCAGGCTTTTGACTTAAAATAAATTAAACACTATTTATAAAAAAAAGTGCGTTGTAATCTGTCTACCATGCCGAAATGTTGGACAGATGCGCTGCTAATAGGACAACAGGAAAGAGGCAAAAGAACGGGACAGTTTTAGTTCAAAACCTTCAGTTTGACGCTGTACGTGACATCTCAATATCATCCTGCTACCTCTTGGCGTTATCGAGACTCCTGAGCGTTCGTGACCTGATCGGCGTTCCTCTTGAGTGTGCTCCCATGGCGTGCAGCGTGACGGCATCGCTCTTTCTGATGTCAAAATATTGCCACACGCGTCGTTGAGCGAGCGAGTACTTGGCCGATTGGTTACCGTGCTTGGGTGTTGCGCGGAGGATCTGGGTTCGATCCCAGGGAGCGAAATATTATTTTATTTATTCTTTCTACTTGGCGTTCTCGCAAATTTGAGAACTTTCTTGTCTAAACGAGTTGCGAATGTACTAGGCGGCGAACGTTCTAGGCTGAATGTTCCAGAAACCCATGCAGCTACAAAAGTTGCTCGGCGTGGAAGCGGGAGTCAGTCCCGCCCCAGCGTTCGATCCCGCTGTTTCGCCGCTATCGACGCCTGCGACGCTAGCCTTTTCGATTTTGTTTTGGGAACAAGTTCTCCTTATTAAACGTTTAGTTTCCTTCGGTTTTCATCGCCTCATCAATTGCCATTTGTGACAATTTCTTCAAGCAAGACCGTAGCACAAGCTCATGTGCTGTCTATAGGCAACCTGCAATGCTGTTTGGTTTGGCGCCATCTAGCGACTGAAGCAAGAAATATTGGGTACCCCTGGGAGTGGCGGCTGCATTGTTCAAACCTGAGCTTTTACTCTGGTGGCGCCGCTTAGCCTAGTGTCTGAAGCAAGAAATACTGGGTACCCCAGGAAGCCGTGATCGCGTAACGTGCCAGTAGAGCGGAAGCTACGACCCTGGCGGGCCAATCGGAACGTGACTGCGTATCACCGGAGCGCGCCTCAACTCCGAAGAAGTATCAGGCTTTTCGCTGCGTCATGCTCCAATATGTGTACGTTGCGCTCGTATACGTCGCGCATTTCGAAGCCATCGGCACGCAATGTGGGGCTTATCGTATACCCTTTGCCAGGTTACAACGATACAGGGTATAACTTTGCGCTCTCACCCTGCTCGCGCCGCCTGGCCGTTGCCGGCTGGCTATAGTACTTGGTGTGCACTTAGGTGCTCGTTTTACTTCGATATATAGCAAGATCATTGACGAACACCCTCGTCCGGTTTAATCCACTCATAACAACCACATTCTCCACAGTGAAGCTAAACTTTAAAATTCTTATAGCTAACGACATTGGTAAACCAATTAAAGACATAGAGCTACTAGATTGTAAAACGCTTCCTTGACTTCCACTATTTGCTGGGCAAAGCGTCACCGTGAGGCATTTATCAAGGATGCAGGCGACATGGACAATATGTCAATTTTCAAAGTTTGCAATCGTGAACATTTTTTGTCAAGTCAAATTAGGCTTTTTACGACCACATCCGACAGCATAATTGGAACCGCTGCAGCCGGCCTTTGCCGACGCCGCTGAAGATCTTGACCAAATCAAGAGAAAGAAGCGGTGGTGTTGACTCTCACAATCCGAGTGTCTCCGAGGTCTGCACGTTCGAGCATCGCAAGACAAGATCCGAGCAGAAAACAATCTAGGATTTCAACATGGCCACAAAATCCAGCTCGACATCAAAGTCTTCGTCCAAGCCAACTAGCGACAAGCGGCGAGCCCCACAGTGCGACGCCATATATGGCATTGTCACTCACTGCTCGTCTGAAGGAGCTGGTATCATCGCGGTAGCATTTATTATGCTACCGCGATGACACCAGCTCCTTCAGACGAGCAGAAAGATCTCCAGACTGGCCTGCCCGGTGACCTTGCCACGCCCTCAAGTACCCTGCGCTAGCCCCAGGTTGACTCCTCGCTCGCCCGCGGCATCATCCCCATAGTTTTCCGAATATCCAAATCAACGCAGAACAGACTGTTTGTCATTTGCCCCTTATGTTCCCCCTCTCCAAGGATTATTATCGTCGTTTTTGACTAGCTCGCTTGGACCTTTGAATCAATTGATTAATTTTCAAAGAGATTGTGAACGTCATTTTAATATAATGTGTCACAGAACTCAAGATATTTATTTTAGCCTTATTATGTTGTGTTCGATACATGCTTGAAATAGTTCCGTTGATCATCTTCGTGACTTAGCATTGAGAGCAAGATTCGCGAATTCAAAGCAGTAGTGAAGCTTCTGGGCGAGGCCACCAATTACAAGAATGTAGCTGCTTTCGCGTTACCTAATTGATAATTTTAAAAAGGTCCTACAATCAAACCAGTGATTCAGAGTCCTAGAGAAGATAAATGTTTTTGGGCTGCGCTAAGGAAGCTTCGGTAAAAAAAAAGCGGTGATATCTACAACTCACATTAAAGATAAACGTAGATCATCGTCAGGAAACCAAGTGTGACACTGACGAAATGAGGAATTGAAATGCACAGCTCAGGTAAACGAACAAGTACAACACAATTCACTTCAAGCATACATATCCACGCAGGAATAAATCTCATAGGCGCTTCATGCCTCCGAAGCATGGCAGCCGCAGTTAAGAATCATTTTTGTCTGCAGACTCCTGAGGATATTGCCTAATATGTATGGCGGCAATACCAGTGGTGAAACATCGAACTCGCTTTACAATAAGTATGTTTACATGTGCAATTCGTATGTCTGTCGACTATATAATTATTATTAAATGGCGGGACTAGTGCAATAGATGCTTAATTGTGTGTCGGGTGAATACATGGCTGTTGCTCCTAGCGGCCTCACACACTCACAGGTAATAACTTGAGTTAACTTTACTATTTCAGAAGGATTGGTCAACTCAGGTGTCCTGGGGCTATAGTGCCGGCATTTTGTTTTGAAGCGGTTTTGCAAATAGCTATTTGTAACTAAATCACACAGATAATAAATAAGGCTGTGGATGCGACATGTGAAATGCAAAAAAAAAGCAGCCCCTATATTTAAGTCTTAAACAAGAACTGAAGGTACAACACACGATTACAATCAGCAGCCGACAAGCATCTAAAATTTGTCCGATGACAAAATAAAAAATCGTGGCGAGCCTGTTATTTGTTGTAAATGATGATGAAAGTATAGCCTCATACGGGGCGTGGTCCTCTTCAGAGGCAAGGGGGGACTCTCCTCCGGGACAGGTTTCTACATCTGAGTGTTTCTAGAAACGTTGGTTGAAGCCTTGTGAGTAACGGTCAACCTCCATCGCAGACGGCTCCCCCTGGCCCAGAGTGGCATGCAACATGCTGATGCGGTTCTTCTTCCTGGTCGGAGGGTTCATCAAGTGGATCATGGTCCTGGAGATTTTTCCGACATCCGCGCGCAGCTTTGGCTTCGCTTGCTGTCTCACCTGTTCCCGCTTTGGTGCCATGGTTGCGCCTTTTCTCGTGGATTTAGTAAGTTTCAATTACTCCGCTGAATGACGAAGTACGTTTTGAAAACATGTAGTTGACATTGTTCTAATCTGCAATTCATGTGCAGCAAACGTAATTTGGCGTATATAGAGCGTGATTTCGCCATTTAGCAATGCGAAATCTCACTGCATACTTAGCACACAAATATTGTCGAGATACTTTTTAGCAATTTCTTTTTCACCATTACGTTTGTCTTTTTTTACGGGACGCAACGCCCCTGAGAAAGGCAATATCCAAGCCTCACTCAAGGCACACTACTTACAACAGCAAAAGTGAACTGTCTTGGTAAAGGATTTGGCGCCAATATTCACATTCGAAAAGTAAATAGAAGAAAGCATCCATTCACGACGAGCGCATGCTTGTGTGAGCACATTCATTGTACTACATGTATCAGTTCTTCAACTGGTGAATGGTCCTATTTAATGCATACTTGTATTTCACAAGGCTGAATTCATGAACTCCTTCCAATCTACCTAATCGCTCCTTTTTTTAGGGCGATGCTACCAGCGCCATTATTCCTGCCGTGCTGGTTGTGTTGATGAACTTACTGACCGCGGGGCTCGCCCTAGTCCTTCCCGAAACCCTCAACAAGCCTCTGCCAGACAACTTCCAGGAGGCGGAGAATATTGACAGGTGACATTTACTGCCTTATGTAGCATTATTTAGCATCTCAGGTGGCACATGAACGGGGAATCAGGTGGGCAATGTTGGCTGTGTCAGCCCGTGCAATACCCCCGTGGGTATTGCACGGGCTGACCGGCATGTCCGTGAGACGTGACAATTCAAGCTGGACATGAAATACCCAATTCGAGCTGATCATTACGTACCCAATTTGAACTGGCCATGAAATACCTCCCTGGGGACAACCCTAACTTCGGAAGTAATCAGTTATCAGTAACGAATAACTTGTAATCCGTTACTTTTTAAGTAATTTCGTATTTGTAACTGTACTTTCTTCTGGTAGAAATTTGTAATGTAATTTCGTTACTAAATATTGGTAAAAGAGTAGTTTAATTACTCGTTACTATTTAAAAATATAAACACAATACAGAAACTGGACCAATATGAGCAAGCCACTCACCATCCTAAGGATAGCAAGTTCAAGAAAAGGAAAAAAGCATCGTGAAGATAAAAATAACCGAAAAGGAAACTCGATGTGTTTGTACGATCGGTCGCTAGAAACGATAGACAAATGTGCAAGGCATGTATAAATATGCGAAAAAGAAAGATCAAGAAGACAACGCCAAGTTGGCTTTGCCTCTTGCCATCGCCTTCCATTGTGTGTTTCTCCTTCTCCTGCATAAGAAAAATTAAAAGTAGTGTAGCGGGACATTTTTTTTTTTAAATATCATGATTATTTCTATTGCGTTCTTGATAAGTGTCGGGAAAAAGTAAGGTAAAAGTAGTTTGCATCGGTCACTGATATCTATTATAGGGGCTGGATGGCCCATAGTCCTCTCCGAGCACGGCGCAAGTGAAGTCACCGGAAGTTTGATGCTTGTCCCGGAAGTCGGGCGTCTGCTGGGCTTCCTAGTGCATTCAGTCGATGTTTTGGTCCGAACTCTCCGGTGTCTTTCAGTGAGTTGTAATAATCATGCTCTGAATTAAATCCCGAAATTGAGGCATTTGAACTTGGGAGGTATGAACACTTGATCAACTAGAACCTCAAAATGTTTACATTGTATGGTTTCCTATGATACTTCTCGGGTCTGCATGTGCTCTTGCTGCGCAACAAGCAGGCTCTCTTGAGGTGATAACCGAATATCCGGCGCCCTCGGCGCTTTTCGAACGAGCACTCGGAAGGGTTACAAAGCCTGCCAAGCGCTCACTTTCGGGACAAGCCTCTTACTTCCGGTGGCTTCATGCCTGTTTGCTGAATACGCCGGCGCCATCCAGCACCCCTATAAAAGAGATCAGTGGTAACGGTAATTCATTGCATTTGAGGCTCGTTAATTTCTAATTGTATTTCATTACCTTTTTGAAGTAACGGGCACAAGTCTGGTCCAACTTCGGTTATGCGTGGTTAAAGTTAGTGCATGTGTGGGAAAAGCGAGATCATGCACATCAGCTGCCGACGCAGTAACCCCCTGGGTCTCCCTTTGGCTGTGCGTGGGCATGCACGATTGGGGTGCTCTCGCAATTACCCCATGCATCTTACCTCGGCTATACGGGGGCAAAGTTATCCCAGAGGTGGGCTCAACAGGGGCACCGTGTGGGTATGCCTAACATGGGCAGTCCGTGAAATACCGCCCCCGGGTTCAATTCCGGCTATACGGGTGAAGAGTTACCGCAGAGGTAGGCTCTGCCTGAGCCATCCGCAAAATGGCCCTTTCCGATGATATTAAATTTTTTTTTTTCGCGTTTGGGAAATCTAACATAGACGGTCAGTTCAATTTGATACCAACTCACCGATGATCGTAATTTATGGTGCAAGAAAAAAGTTCGGGTTTGCAGAACTTTATTACTAATCAGCACGTATGTAGAAAAGGCAATTTTACGTGGGGTGGCTTTTTGTTTACTAAGAGTATTTAGTTTGAGGTTTAGTTGCAGACATGCTTGTTTGAGTGTCGCTACCTGTTCTAAGATTCGGTGTCTGTAGCCGGCTCAAGCTGGCTATGTAAATAAAAAATGAAAAACGTTTACAAATCTCTGTAGCTTGAAATTAGAGCGCAGCTCTTCAGAAGGAGGCGGGGAGGGTATGCGCCCCCCCCCCTCCTTTGTACACTCTCCTGCTCCTCCTTATTTCCTCCTCCTCGTTTCCCCTACTTTCGCCTTCTCCTCCCCTCCTCCTCATTCCCCTCCTTCTCTGTACCTTCCCCTCCTCCCACTTTCAACGCGAAATGTAGCTCAAAAATTGACGCTACGTGACCTCAACACTAATTCAGTTTCCGCCCTAAGTTTAGCGAGAAAAATGACGTCACATAATTTGTGTCATGTCACCTATGATCAAATTCAGTTTCTCCGCTATATTTAGCAGAAAAAGTGACGCCACGTGACCCCAACACCACTTTGATTTCACTGCTGAATTTCGCGGGGAAACTGAATTGGTGATGAGGTCCTGTGACGTAAGTTTTACCGCTAAATTTAACGGGGAAACTGAATGCGCAGTGTTGCAGTATGGGACGTCACAGACCTGCACACCAGTTCAGTTTCTTCGCTAAATATAGAGGGAAATTAGAGAGTTTTCCTAGACCGCGTTTCCCCCTCTGCTAAGTCCTCCGCTACGAAGAAGCTGCTGCAGCAAATGCGCGCCGATAGCCTTTACTGTAGAGTTCCGGGTATCATAGCGGGCTGCGGAGGGCGTTGCGGAGCGGTAAAAACAATACAAAAACTCCGTATTGAGTTGGCCGATAGGTCTGTGCGTCCCATATTGCAACACGCGCGATTACGCCGACGCCGACGCCGTTAGGCGCGGAAACAGGTGCCTAAGAGGTGCACTCTAAAACTTTTTAAAGTACAACTCTTAGGCGGCTGTTTTCGGCTTTCGCGGCGTCGGCGTTACCGCGCTAAATTTAGCGAGAAAATTGACGTCACGTGACCTAAACACCAGTTCAATTCCCCGCTAAATTTAGGGGAAAATTCAGTCTCTCCGACAGATTTAGCGGGGGAATCCAGTTTCTCCGCTATATTTAGCGGGGAAATTTGGTTTTTCCACTAGATTTAGCGGGAAATTGACGTGACGTGACCTCAACGCCAATTCAGTTCCCAGCTACATTTATTTGGGAATTGAATTGGTGTTGAGGTCACATAACGTCTATTTTCCCGTTTGGTTTCACCCGATCGGTCGACAAGGGATAGAATGTTGTTACTGCTGCACTTCACAGTATTTCAGACGCCTACGCTTCCCATTAGATAAATATTTAAAATATCTGTTGTAGCATGGAACATTCGAAGTATGAAAAACTGTTCTAAGGAAAATATATTTGTTAATCAAACTCGCAATAGTAGATTTTAATATATTTCCCGATTCTTCAACATTTTTGTATGCTATCAAACATTTACCAAGAAAGGAAGATAGGAAAAGGTCAATAGCTACAAAATCTTCTTTGTTATAGTGAAAAGAGAGTGAGTGTGCAGGCAACCTGGTGATAGCTAATCACGTCATATATTACCTCAGACTGGGGTGGATGAAATTGGAAACTTTTTAGTGGAAATAACGTCCCTTTCTGCGTCTGTTCCTTCTACTAAAAAGTTTCCAATTTCGTCCATCACAGTCTCAGGTGTTATATGACATGGTTTGTTATAGTCCCTTATTTGTTTCACGTTCCTATGTACTCGTGAATTGGGAATGAAAATTGTGGACTGCAGCACTTTGTGATCACTCCAACCTGGTATGTGAGTCACTGGTGACGTATATATCTGGAGAGGATGTAAGTATCAGGTCAAGCAGTAAATGTGGTGTAGCCGTTATACGCGTTGACTGGCTAACACGTTGTCCCATCAGCTTGGCTATATAAGTGTATCTTCCTTTTTTTTTCTGCAGAAACAAAGCACTGAAAGTGAACAAGCAAGAAATGAAGCAGAAGTTAAAAGAGGTTCCAACATAGAGCACCGAAGAAAAAAAGAACTTTTTAATGCGTTGAGTGCGTGATTTATCTACCATGCTGGCCAGACTAACATGCAACTACGTTGTACTGCGCTGACTGATTTCGAGCTTACGAATATTTACTTTTTCAAGAGGAGGGACGTTTATGACATTGACTGATAAATTGGGATAAATGTCAACCTTGTGGAGCCATTGTATTTTTCTGAGGGCGCGCGGAGAGGTAAGCGTACGATTTCCAACAAAGATTTTACGGTAAAAGACAGGTTTTGAGATCTACGTAGATAAAGATTTTTCTTAAAAGAACGAGTTGGAGGTGACTTATTATATTTATGTCCGGTGAAGTTGAATGTCACCAGCATTTGAGCCGAAGTGTCGAACGTGTGGATCGACACAAGAGAAACCAAAAAAATAACCGTTGAATGCGACGTCATACCCAGAGGTTTCAACTGCATTGCGCTTGCCGCTTGTGAGGTAACGTGTTCAGCGGTTTTGACTGCGTGGGTAAGGCTGGCGGAAGGCGCGTAGCTGTCGAGAAAAAAAAAAAACTAATAAAAGATCGCCTGTTTTGCTCGTTATCCGATTCAAGTAATGTGCTGTTGCATGATGCTTTGCCTTTTCTCAAGTTATCAGGAAGGTTGAAACGTTGAGACTGGTCACCGGCATCGAAACGCGTTCCCGGTGACCAGCATCTTGCCGCAGGCAATCTTATCATTGATCGACAATGAAAAACCAAGGACGCGCTCAGTCCCTAATTGAATTGTTTAATGTCAACGGAACAAAGAATGAGCGCTTGATAAATATATGTATATTAATATTGAGTGAAATTTAATAAGTTTGTGTCCTAATATGGGAATATACTCCCGATATTTACAACACCGATACTTATTAATCACATTCTTACACATATTACTCAACACATACATGGTTAAAGTCAGCAAGCAACGTGAGGAAAGTGTAGAAGAATACAGGATACAGGATAAACCTGAGCTCACAGCTCAATATTGCAACCAGAAGAAAAGAAGACGATGACATATAACCAACAGGCACATGCCCATAGCACGGTGGCAAGTATCAGCGTATCTACAAAAAAC